CAAAGCTTCTCTCAAGGCGTGCCAAAATCCAAATGTACAAAACCATAATACGACCAGCAGTGACATATGGAAGTGAAACATGGACATTGAGAAAGAAAGAAATCAATAAGCTATTAGTATGGGAACGCAAAATCCTGCGAATTATATATGGTCCTTGCAGGGACAGTGTGACAAATTAATGGAGGAGCAGATATAACAATGAATTAGAGACTCTCTTCGGGAAAGGAATCATCGTAAGATACATAAAAGCCAATAGATTAAGATGGGCAGGTCACGTGGTACGAAGTGATGACGACAGACTGATTAGCAATGTGTTTTGGGAAAGACCAGATGGTAGAAGATCGACAGGAAGGCCTAGAAAAAGGTGGAAAGACGCAGTCAGGGAAGACCTGGAGAAGATGGAAGTAAGGCCATGGGAAATAATAGCACAGGATCGGAATCAATGGAAGGCAATAGTAAACGCGGAAATAACTCACGAAGAGTTGTAAAAGCCAATGATGATGATGATGATGATTATTAAGATACTGGCCTTATTTGGCGTCACTACCTTACCAATTTGTTCCAGAAAATCTTTAGGGTTCGCTTAGGAGTACGCCAAGTGCAATAATCTTTTAATACCGGCTTTAAATTCTTACAGGCTATGACATAGCATGTAAGAATTAAGACATGACAAGAATATGTGCTACCATTTTTCTATACTTATTCTCAATTTATTTTGGTATTTTAATTACTTTGGGTTTTTTTCTAGTTTAAATTACTAACGTTAATTATTTTCAACACACATTAAATAAGTATATTAAATCACAGTGATGTTGTTGGTTTCCTTTTTGCCTCGTTTGTCGCTGACAACCTGTTGGACTGACTTAGGCGACTGGCAATTAATATAATAAGATATGCCTTTTTTAATTGGTAACGGTGGGCACTTAGTGGCATCGAATAGATCTAATAATTTTTTAAAAAGTTTACTACTAAATATTAGCGTTTTAGTACATTGCCTTTCCTTTTTTCGTTTTAACATTTTAAATGTGGCACTCGCTTTGTCAACCAGTTATTAACAATAGTATTTTAAATATTAAAATAATTGCCAGACAAATCTTTTCAAGCTTTAGTGTAACATTTAAGGGTGATTTGTGATTTAAGGCTTTATTTATATTGCTAAAAATTTTTCTACTAATTTTTAAAATACGAATACACTATGTGGATTTTTGATTTTCATGATAAATTTTGTGTAAAACTGTGTTGCTTTTCTCACCATCGGAATTGAATTACTTCACATGTAAGTCACTTTTTAGATTAATTATCACTTTTCGACCTATTGCCAGATGCCATTTTTTATTTTTCAAATTTGTTGAAAACACCTCACTTTTTTTTGGCATTATCTTGTTAGGTTAAAGAACCTTTTGTTCTTTCTAAGGGCACCTTTGTTCCTGTAGCATTTTTAATTTTTTTGGTATATATTGAAATCCTCTCGTATATGTTAAAACACCGAAAAATATTTTCAATCCTTTTGCGTCGCTGTAGTTGATAATAAACACATTTTACAAGTTGTTTATATATCACAGATGTGTATTTCCTCGGTATTCTTTGATTGAGAGTCGCTTAATTATGCGTGTTTAATAAATATTCACTTAAATCGCTAAGAAAGTATTGCGGGGAAGAGAATTACATCACTTTCTGTAAAGCCGCTGTCTAAGGCAGTTGGTTTCGTTGTAGTCCGAATTTTACTTCAAACTCTAAACAAAAATCTAAGAGATTTGAGGTGTTTTCAACAAATTTGAAAAATTTTAACATGGTTCCAGTTTTTTAAGAAGCGAAGCTACAAATTTTGCGTCCAGTACCCCAACTTCAGCCTCAATTTTTTTTCTGCTAAGAAGCCGTTTCAAAACATTTTTCGCAGATTTAATATGAATTTGTTCGTGTGGTAGAGTGTAATTCCAGTTCCTAACCCCAGAAAATGTAAAGTAATTTTAGTAAAATTCAGGTAACTCTTTTGTGTTGTTTTTTAAAGAAAAAATAAACATTTTATAATAATAATTGCTTTCATAACAGTTTAAGAAATTGTAATAATTAAAATTGTAGATGCTAGGGTGTCGCCTAGGTCTAGCTGTCATATTATTTATTTTTTATTATTGGGTTAATGCCTCGACAACTTTGATCATTGGCACGGTACAGTCAGGTACCTAGTGTAGTGTGTGTGTGTGTGTGTAGAGTAATTGTCTTGATACTTAGCAAAGTCGACGTCATTATCTTTGCTAAGAGACGCTAATTGTATCCGAACGTCTGCGGTCCCTCTGGTGAGTACCGATCGCACAAGGATAGAAATTATTTTTATTTATTAATTTTTAATAAACGAAAATTTCCACCCAGATGAGATTTGAACTCACGACCTTTAGATTTAAAGGTAGGCGCTCTTACCACTGAGCCACAGAGGGGGTTGAAAAATGTGTCATATTATTTGTTCTGTTTTAAAATTTAATATTGATATCTGACAGCTAGCTTTATTTTTTTGACATTTGTTAAATACTTAATCATAACAGATCTTGTTTTTGTTTTGTTTTTAAAAAAGTTTAACCTCTATGCATAGTTTTGTTTAAAAAGATATGTCTTTTTTATTTATTAAAAATATATTATTAAATTTATTTCTGCTACAAATTATCGCCTAGTAACAATTGTAAATTCTTGTAGTATCTTCAACTTCTAGAGTTTGTAAACGCATAGGACATAGTAAGTCTTTTTTTGTTATTTTGGTATTTATCTTTGTAACTATTTATATAGTATTTTTTTGTATTACCATTTATATTTGTAATTGTTTGTAGTGAGATAAGAATAAATGATTTCATTTTTCCCTAAACCATTTTGTTTGGTTCTCCTAACTAACTCCCTAACACATTTTTTATGTTTTTAGGAAGGCAGAGCCTTTTATTTCATCCGGCAGGAAGATTACTCAAAGCGGTGCCCATTTTAAATAGCTTGAGACCCTTCTTGTATTGTGTTTGTCCAGAAGATTCATGTAAGTACCCTTTTTATTTAATTTTTGTAGTTACCCCAATTCAACCCCCTTGTCATTCACTTATCCACGACCCAGTTCTCCAAATAAACCCTGAGTGACCGTTCGCATAAGTTTCGATTTGTTTTGCTTGCCCTATCTCCACCCCAATAATTTCTGTCCCCAATTTTCACCCTTAATAGTAATACACTATGTGGTAGGCAAAATATTTTTACAGATATGGACTGATGCTCTTTTGTAAACACAAAACCAAACATTTTCGCTAATATATATAATAGTTAATTTCTAGCTTGTTTTTCTTTTCTCCTCTTATCTGACTGAGATATTTAAGAGTTACAATATAAAAGGGATTTAATCCTACTTCTTTGATATCTTGATTTGTATCCTACTACTGGAAGTATTAAGCTCTCTGTTCAAACAACCGACAACGGATACATAAATAACTTCTCGCTCATTTGTCTGTAAAATTGCATTCCTAATTTTCGCAATGTTGAAAAATATCGCTAACGAACTGATTTGAAATTGATCATGAACAGCTGAATATGCATGTTATATTTTATTTTATATATTTTGGCATGAAAACAAATTATTAACATGAATTTTTTTTATCTATGTTAAAGTGTGGTTTAGTGGATTTACGTAATGTTGAAATTTAATTTTCCAAAGTTCCCATGACTTTACGATTCCTAATTTAAACACCTAAACGTATATTTTTTGGAGATTTGGGAAATGGATTCAGGCAATTTGGGGTAAGAAATATTCATCACATGGAATCAGACATTATAGTTCCTACTTTATCCTTGGAATAAAACCCTAATAAAAATTGTACACATGTAATGCAAGTATGTATTTATTTTCTATCCATAAATGATATTTTCTCGTTTATTACCTTTTTGTGAGTGCTTCGGGATCTTTTTTGGTACATTATTGTTTGCGTTTTATTGGCATTTATAAATAACATTAAATGATCACATTATCTTCAAAATTTTTTGTCAAGAACACACATTTTTTGCTAAAACTCTCAGTAATAGATTATAATCCCAAGCATATGCTACTTAGTTTTATTATCGCTAGCTAAGTTTCAAAAATGTGTATCTGAAAAATACCTGAAAAATAATTAAAACAAGATTAGACATAGTCGATATATTGACTGCTAGTAAGATTATATACCGAAGATACCGACTTTTAGTTTGACGACTTTCTGCAGAAAAGAAACAAACACACAAATGGCTCAAGTTGACAAAAATTGAGTGAATGTTTCTGCCAGAAAAAAAATTGTATTGTATTTTCTTTATGAGAGAACTCCATGCCGAAGGTAACCGGATATCTTCATTTCTTTGATGTGGCAATTTTTTAATGTCTATGACTTCTCGGATAATTCTTGGTTTATAGAAGCGGATGGGGGCTATGCTTCTGGAGTTTTCAAAATTTATTTTGTGACTTTTATGAAGATAGTAAGATAGTGTTAATCTAGAGCTAAAATTGAACCGGAATTGCGAATAGAAATGGAATGTTCATAAATCTTATTTTGGACTTTACAATTTTTTTAGTCTATATAAGATCGGAGACAGTCTGCACAAGAATTTCATATACTCCGTGTTGTACATTTGGAATTTGTCAGTGACACCTTGAATGCAAGTCAGAAAACCTTTCGTATGATGATGGTCTGAGGATTGAGCTTGAGTGGGACATTGATGTCTTTAAATGATCCTATCAATGTGATTTTCACGGTAACCGTTTTGAATGAAGGATGGTTTTAAACTAGAGACCTCAGCGGGTCTACTGGCATCGCAAAGGCGTGTTGATCTGGAGACAAGGGTAATAATAACTAGAATAATTTAAAATTCATTCTTTCTTCATTCTTTGTAACATATCTATATTAGTTACTTTTTCAGTCATATTCTATTCTATTCACGGAGACTATTAAGTAATTACAATTTTTTAAAAAATTTATTAAATTTTATTTAAATAAGTGTTTTAAAAAATAGTATATTTAAATAATAAATTCATCTGCCGGCAAGCCCTTTATATTTAGTCCTGTTACCCGGAAAATAGATCCCGGACTTTCTCCAGTTGGCCTGTCAGTAAAATGGGCAGAAGTTACATACAGTTCATCCAAATTTGGTCCGCCAAATGCGACTGAAGTTATCTAGAAATAAAAAAAAAGATAGATAAAGTTATTACGTAATTATATTATTTAAGTGAGACTTATTTCAGTTCAATGGTAAAAAGTTTTTTACCAAGTAAAAAAACAAAATTTGTTTAATAATCCGGTCAAAGTAGACATCAAAATAGTTGACAAATAACAAAAATTGCCGGAAAGCCAAATTTTGGTGGAGAGCTAGAGTTTACCATAACAAATAAAGTTTTAAAACATAACAAATAAAGTTTTAAAAGTCCCATCGATTCCATGTGTGCAACAAAATTATTCGGGGTCAAAGGTCAAAATTTGAGAATTTTTGGATTTTTTTCGAAAACGTTCAGTTTTATCAAAAAAAAAAAAACTTAAACCAAAGTTGTAGATCTTAAAATTCTCTACAAAAATAGTTCTTACGATTTTTTTCCTAAGAGCTGCTATGCCTGAGATATCCCGATTCTACAAGTCATATTATACGTGATATGCACACGTTTCCACACCACCTGCGAGGTAGTGTACTCGGCGCGTTTTTTTACCGTGGTTTCCCATGTAGGCCTACTCCACTAACTGTTTTGGCAATTTTAGAATAATTTAAGGAAACAATACCGGTCAAGTTCTAGATATTACCTTAATATTGATATTGATTATTGATATTGCTATTGATTATTACGTTAACTATTGTTTTGATTTCTTTAGATATTTTAATCAGATTCATATTCTTTAAAGTCTACTTCAACAGTCAAGTCTTCTTCGATTTCATCTTCTTCCTCTCACTCTTACTAGATGTTCAAAAATTGTTCAAATATGACTGAGTCATTGGTCTCTTCATTAAAATCACAGGAGTCTTCCTCTGTTGTACTAAACTGAACATTTGAGCAAGACTGACCTTGGCAATTGGTACACGCTAGAAAACACAGCAACCCGACTTTTTTATATCCACATTTGGCACTACAAACTTTTTTTTAATTGCAAAAAATAGTGTTAAGGAGTTTTTCTAGAGCAGGTAGGAGTAAGATTTTAACCCTTTCAGTCATGCTGGGTATAATTGTACCCATTAATTTGAATGCATATATAATTCTACAGGAATCTGCAACTTAGGCAAGTTTATCGAAATCTATATTCTATAAGTACTATACTTCTGCATTTTGTATCTAGATGGCGCATGGATGGTTTTGTGCTATAAGAAAATTAATGTCAAAAGCAATATGTCGGCAATTGCATTGTTCATAAGAGGTAAGTGTACTTGTTTCTTCAAATATTAGTTTGAATAAAATCAATCGCCATTTATATTTCAGTGCAATGTTGAAAGTAGTGTTACTTCTTACTAATTGTCAATATATTTTATTGAAATTAGATTTTTTTCAAATATAGAAGTGTGCTTCAAATTCGATGGGCACAATTGTAGCCAAAATGACTCAGTGTTATTTTTTGTTTCAGAGTAAAATGCCTCCAAAAAAGTATTTAACTGAGAAGGAACTCCTGGAAGAGCTGGAAAAACTGTCCGACATAGAAGGATTTGTTAGTGATGACGACAGTGACTGCGAAGAAAAAATACAAGTAAGACAGAGAGTTGGACATATGATAGATGATGTTTTAGAAAATCAAAACGAATTGGAGGACGAGGAAGAGGATAATGAGGTAGAAAAGGAGGATGATGATGAACAGGGCGAAAACGATGGTAGCTATGATAACTTCATTACTCTGAAAAAAAATGTAAAATGGTTACAGAATGTTCAATATCTAACACGACAATTACCTAATAAAATAACATAGATTTCTAATGAAAACTGTTCTGAGGAATATCCAGTTACATATTTTATGAGATATTTTCCCGAAAGTATATTCGAAAATTTCGTTCAATATGTATACGAATATGTATGCTTTGCAAACTGGAAATGAGAAATTTGTACCGTGTAATCTACAAGAAATAAAATCATTTTTTGGCCTTTGTATTCTAACAGGCTGTCTAAAATTTCCAAGACTGCGAATGTATTGGGACAGATCTTTAAAAATTGATATTTTTTCGGACGCAATGACCTTGAATCGTTATTTCAAACTTCACACGCACATACATTGTGTTGACAATCTGGAAACCAGACAGAGCGACGACAAACTGTGGAAAGTTCGACCAGTTTTTGAATCAGTCCTAAAGAGATGTAGAGAACTGCATATAGAAACAAATATTTGCATAGACGAACAAATCATGCCTTTCAAAGGAAGATTATCTATAAAACAATACATCATAAATAAGCCTAATCCATGGGGAGTAAAACTGTATTTATTAGGTGCTGAAAGTGGACTAATTTACAATTTTCTAATCTATCAAGGTAGTACCACAGAAATAGAACCTTCCAATTTGAAATATGGACAAGGTGCAGCTATCGTATTGCAATTAACAAAAGGACTTGAACCTAATAAGCATGCATTGTACTGTGACAATTATTTTACGAGCTATAATCTTTTACAAATTCTCAACCAAAAATCAATACTTGTTGCTGGTACTGCGAGGATCAATAGATTTCTAAACCACCTTTAACTGATGTAAAAGATTTTTCAAAAAACCAGAGAGGATCAACGGAACAAATTGTCTCTTCTGATGGAATTGTAGTAACCAGATGGTTAGATAGCAAGTCAGTAATAATGGTATCCAACTTAGTTGGGGTTGGTACAGAAGATGCTGTAAAACGTTGGAATAAACAAACAAAATGTTTCATTGACGTAAGTCGACCCGAAGTTATACAAAAATATAATAAGTCCATGGGTGGCATAGATAAAACAGATGCTCTTATTGCGTTTTACAGAGTAAAAAACCGTTGCAGAAAGTGGACTGTTCGACTAATCTTCCATGCAGTTGACATGGCCCTAACAAATTCGTGGTTAGAATATAAAAAAGATATGCATACTTTAGAAATTCCAAAAAAAGATATCATGGACCTTCTACACTTTATGATGAAAGTTGGTAAAGCCCTCATAAAAGTCAACTCTTTCAATAACCGAAAACGGGGAAGACCTTCAAACGGTACATCTAGTCCTGTAGTAGCTGAAAAACGCCAAAACATTGAAATTGGACCTCTTGCTGAGGTGCGATTAGATAACATTGGACATTTTCCAGAGCACCCTCAGCTACCTTTACCTTTAAGATGTAAAAACCCTGGTTGTATAGGAAAATCAAGATGGAAATGTCAGAAGTGCAATGTCCATTTCTGCCTTCAAAAGGAAAGAAATTGCTTTTTTATGTTTCATATGCGCTAGTTTTTTAGATTTGTTAAGTACTTTTGGGTACAAATGAACCCATAATAAATTTTTTTATGTATACGTGCTATATTTTTATTAATGTCCAAAAAGTGTTATATGAACTGTTTTAAGTACATTTTACCCAAAAAATATTTTTTCGTTCGCTGAAAAAAAAGAGGTACTGAAAGGGTTAATCGGTTCCAGAGTATTATCTATAAATTTCCAACCCCAGTCTTCTGGATTCAGTTCATTGCCTAGCCATGTTTGAACTTGGTAATATACTCGATACAAATGTTGAAAAGCAGATGCTGATGTTGAAGGAAGACATGATAGTTGTACTTGTTTGTTGTTTCGCATATTTTTTACAAAAGTTAAGTATCGGTATTTATCAAGACAACTAATTTTTTTAAAGCTCCATAAAATGCAACAAACACAACAATTGTAGTTGGTGAAGATGTTGATTTATTAGTACTGCTTACTGCAAGGACTCCAGTAGATAAAGTTATTTATTTTCTGAAACCTGGAAGGGCTCAACAGCGAACAAAGATAATAATTCGAAAAGTTTATCTGCTTGTCCCAAATGCCAAAAGTACATTTTATTTTTACATGTGATAATCGGCTGCGACACTACGTCACCAATGTACAGAAGGGGCAAAACGTCAGTACCTACTTAAATTATTCGAAAAAAAAAAAGATTTGACTGACTGCTGTAAAGTTTTTACAGAACTTGATTCCACACCGCAAACAATAATTACGGAAGGAATTCGCTTTCTTCTTGCGGTTTGTGGAGCTATAAAAAAATTAGTTGTCTTGATAAATACCGATACTTAACTTTGGTAAAAAAACGCAAAACAAGAAACAAGTACAACTATCATGTCTTCCTCCAACATCAGCATCTGCTTTTCAACATTTGTATCGAATATATTATCAAGTTAAAACATGGCTAGGCAATGAACTGGATCCAGAAGACTAGGGTTGGAAATTAATAGATAATACTCTGGAACCGATTAAAACCATACTCCCACCTGCTCCAGAAAAATTCCCTAACACTATTTTTTGCAATTGCAAAAAAGGTTTAAGTGCCAAATGCGGATGAAAAAAAGTCGGGTTTCTGTGTTCTCTAGCGTGTACCAATTGCTAAGGTCAGTCTTTCTCAAATGTCCAGTTTAGTACAACAGAGGAAGACTCCTGTGATTTTAATGAAGATACCAATGACTCAGTCACATTTGAAGAATTTTTGAACATCCAGCAAGAGGGAGAGGAAGAAGAGGAAATCGAAGAAGACTTGACTGTTGAAGTAGACTTTCAAGAATATGAATCTGATTAAAATATCTAAAGAAATCAAAACAATAGTTAACGTAATAATCAAAAGCAATATCAATAGTCAATATCAATAATAAGGTAATATCTAGAACTTGACCGGTATTCTTTCCTTAAATTATTCTAAAATTGTCAAAACAGTTAGTGGAGTAGGCCTACAGGGGAAACCACGGTAAAAAAACGCGCCAAGTACACTATCTCAGAGATGGTGTGGAAACGTGTGCATATCATGCATAATGTGACTCTTAGAGTCGCGGTATCTCAGGAATGGCAGCTCTTAGGAAAAAAATCATAAGAACTATTTCTATAGAGAATTTTAAGACATACAACTTTGGTTTAAGTATTTCTTTGATAAAACTTAACGTTTTCGAAAAAAATCCAAAAAATCTCAAATTTTGACCTTTGACCCCGAATAACTTTTGTTGCACACATGGGATCGATGGGGACTTTTAAAACTTTATTTGTTATGGATCTTCACCAAAATTTGACTTTCTGGCAATTTTTGTTATTTCAAATGTCTATATAGACCGATTATAAATAATTATTGTAAAAATCTAAACGTCTAATAAACTTATTTTAAATTAAAATTGTGCAAAATAAAATAGCTTCTGAGAAAAAATCCCATTAAAAATACCGGACTGAATGGTATCAATAAACTAGAAGCTAACAGGAAGTAAAATCTTCATGACATTATATTTGACTGCTACTAATTCCTTACCTCTTTATTTTTTATCATCCTTGCTCTCTATTTTCCCTCTTATTCTTCAATACAAATAAAAATAAAAATTAAACAAATATATAAATTACCTGTGCCGCAGGAAGTTCCACAGTCCTCAAAACTGTGTCTGGTTTGAAGGGATCTATTTGATATACTCTTGAAGACGCAAACACGGCTAGCCATATATTTCCATCGGCATCTAATGTCATACCATCGCAAAAATGTTCTTTATTTGTAATTGTAAATATGGTTTTCATATTCGCTAGAGCAAAATATTTTAGTTAGAATCATATAACTTTTAATGTGCCTCCAATGTGTTAATCGTTACATTACTGGTAATCCAGTAATCTCCAAAATCAACGAGAAGGCAGATAACGCCTTAAAATTAGGACAAATGGAGAATTAGAACAAGTTCACTTGTTCACTAACATACAAGAAAGCATAAAAGATAAGTGTGAGCTGGACGCAAGAATACAAAAAATGAAATATTATGGCAGCAGTTTCAGACAAAATTATTACATCTAAAAATATATCGAAACGAGCCAAAATAGATATATAAAAAAAAGTTTTAAAACCAACTGTCCTCCATCCAATCGAAACATAGGTGCTAAACCAAACACAAGAAGAAAAAATAAATATATCGTCGTCTTGGTTGTCAACAGGCGTAAGCCACATTGTCGTGAAACTGAGAAAATGCCTTTCAAACATTTTTAAGCCAATAAATTTCAATTGTTTTGTTTATAACTTGGTCATTTTTTAAGATTAAGAGCTGCAACTTTTAACTAGCATGCTTTATAGGAATATTTAGATGTATGTTAATTATTAAACTTTTCTGTTAAATATTTTTTAAGATACGTGGCATACGTCCATTGAGCACTGAACATTAGTTGCATTTGTGTAAGTGTTAAAAGAATCATGCCTCTAAAATACTTTGAAACTGAAACTTTTAAACATAATAAATATTCATAATAAAAAATACTTGTTTAGAATAATATTTACATGAATGTTATTCTTTACTATGCAAGCTTGTAATAACTGTAGATAATATTAACAGCAGAAATATTTGTTTAAAATAAAACAAAAATTGAACTTTTAAATTTATTACATACTATTCTGAAAAACAAAGAAATAAAACTAAATTGAGGTTACGTAATAATAAAGACTTTACTAGTCTACATCACTTTCTGTGTCACTGTTTTTACGAGTAGCATCCTCAACAAACTCTAAACCTTTGTAGAAGTCGTGGTAGGCAGATGGAATACTACCTTTCTCACACATTTTTAACAAATCTCTTGATTTGCTTTTTTCAATTTTGTGTTTGGCTGCGTATAAATTTGATACATCTATCGTGGATTGGTTTCGAAGTTGTCGTCGATGTATGTTCAGAGATTGGAAGTGGTCCTTACTCAGTTGATATTTATAGTAAATAGTTGCACGTTCACTTTTTCGATATTGAAACCACTTAAGATCTAGCCATTTAACTCTTTCTCCGCTCTCAGAAATTGTTTTGTTTGTTATAAACTGATTACTGAATTTCTTAAAGTCAAGAAAATCGGTATGCACCATTTCAACAACCTTGTAGTAAGGTTTTCTGGTTTTAGCGGTACAAGCCACCATGTACCAACCTTCTGGTGTGAATACATCTACTTTTCTACCCCGAGCTTCTATAGCAGAGTGTACAGAATCACACTCCATATCGGAGTGCCCTGATTCCATAAATTTCTGATTAATGATATTAATGGGCATATGTTCCACAGCACGCAAAAACATTGCAGATATAATAGAATTGCGATTCTGACCTGACGCAGTGTCAGAATAGAAGGTTATTTCATTTTTTTCTCCCAACGACATCAAGAAGTTCCATAGGCAGCTGGCGATTTCTGGTGCACCCTTTGAACCAAAACCTTCATGCCACATATAATTAGTAGCTTCCCCAACAGCCAGATTATACAATGTAAAATTGTAGGTCTTTAGTTTTTTTTAAATAATATAGTTGTCCTACTTGTAAACTTGGTGCTAACAGTATTTTTTCTAGATCCATACTATGACATTCAAATGTTGAATCTAACTTAGCTTTGGTTTTGTCATTTTGCTTGTGCTCTCTGGTCTCTTCTTTGCGTATTAGGTGCAACTTCTATTTTTCTTCATCTGTTTTTTTCTCTTCTGTCGATTTATTTTTGTATTGAGTGCAAAAGTCGCACTGATCTTTTTTGGGAACATGGAAGCCATAATTGAATTCATTTGTTAAAATAGATTTATAGAAACTAGCTTTTTCGGGAACAACATTACGCTCCCTACAGTATTCTACATAATCTAAGTAGAGCCGAGTTTTACTCAGCCCAGAAGGCAAGTACATTCTCTTACTACTGCTCCGACAATAGCGGGAAGCAACAACGGGTAGAGATTTGATCCCTAATTAAGTTTTTTACTTCATAGCTTTTTTTGTTGGGGGGTTCTTTTTTACCTCTATGGTCTATTTTTGTAACACCTGTAGGAGTAGTCTCATAAGAGCCGTGAGTCACAAGGTCCGCCTCTGAATACCCGGGTTGTGCAATTGTTTTGTCAGCAACTATAAATAGAAATAATAAATAAAATAATATAATTAGAAAATACTCCATACAATACAGAGTATGGCTTTAATGATCATAAATATAAAATTTGTTGAAAATAAAGTAAATTAAAATACCTTTAAGTTTGGGCTTAGAATAACATTATAATGCTCAGAAAATTCTATTTAATCGTCCCAAGTAACTAATTAAAACATAATTATAATAATAAACTATGCACAAGTAAAAACAATTTCTGGAATAATACTTGAGCTTCCTTGGCTCCTACTCAAGTGTATTTTGCACATAAATGTAGTATTAATTGTGTATAATTGCTTACCTTCGGGGTTTTCTTGATTTAAAACTGCTGCAACCATTCGTTTTCCACGTACGCAACTCATTATTTTCTTTACTTTTATCACTTCCTACACATTAACAGAAATATTTTAAAAAGAATAATTTATCGTAGGTAACTGTTTAACAACGAAAGCCAATACAAGACTACCAGCTAAACTGTAAAACTACGTGGCAATGATGAAATTCTAAAGATTTTTGCTGGTTAATAATGGTCGCATTTCTAACACGACCCTATCATCAGGTAAAGTAACTGTAGTCAAAGGTCGTATGCCACATACACCTCTTGTCAACAGAGGGAAGGATATAAAAAATTATTTTATTTTGGAAAGTCAATAGACGTATGTTGCTTGCTACTACGGACTGCTTTATGATATGTGTATTAAGCCTATTGGCAATTTACAAAATACCTTACTAGGAGATATTTATGGGTAAAATTCATTGACCACAACATTTTTTGACAAATTTAAAGTAGTCTTGCGTACTTACCTCCGATTCATAAAAATTGTGGATTACGCCTTTTGACCACCAAGGCGACGATATGGGAAAGGAAAATATCGAAAAAATTTTTTGAAGGAATTAAAGAAGAGAGGAGAAGAAAAACCAATACCGAGATCATGAGTCTTTTTAAGGAACCTGCAATATTAGTTGTAAAAGCTTCAGGATTGAGTTGGTTAATACATTAAGAAAGAATTGAAAAAAAGTATACCAAAAATAAATACAGAGATAGGTGACAAAAGACGAGTAGGTCGATCAACAAACAAATGATGAGATAAAGCAAAAAAAGACCTTAAAGAGAAATGTGCTTGTATTGAAACTAAGGATCATAAACAATGGGGAAGGAGCATCCATGGGTGGAGCCATATCCCCATCTTTTTCAGAAATTGTAAAAAACTCTCTACTTTACTACTGTACTCGAGAAGTTCATTTCCAGTTCTCCTTCATCTACCAATAGATAGATAACCTATCCCAGCTGACGAATTCAACTACACTCTTAACATATTTAACTCCTACAACACTCACCTACAGTTTACTGTCGAAACAGAGGAAAATAGTATGGTGCCATTCTTCGACACTAATGTAACCAGACATGAGGATAATACGGGAAATAAGGTTGGACTGGTACAGAAAGAAAACATTCTCAGGTAGATATGTGCCTTTTCACTGTTATCATCCAGATGAACAGAAGATTAACATCATCAAAGGTCTGAAAAACAGAATAAAAAGAATTTGTCACCCTTCTAACTACAATAAGAACATCAAGTTACTTTATGAGATTCTTTAAAAAAAATCACTATCCTAAGATGCTGCTGAACAAATTGCTCTTTCAATAAATGCCAACGATAAGAACACACCAAAGACTAGCATTGGAAGGAGGATTAGTAAAACTTGTCTATGGGAGATTGCCTTACATCAGGGGTTTATCACCACAGATCAGAAACCTTTTCAGACAGTTTAGCATAGTGATAGCAAATTCAGTGTACAAAAGATGACGGACATACATCACTCACCTGACAAAAGAGGTAAAAAACTGGATAACTTTAATGTAGTATATTCTGTTCCATGTGGTTCCTGTTCGAAAGTATATGTTGGTTAAACCAGCCAAAAACTATTAAAAAGAATAGCTTTGCACAAGGGTGATGTGAGGGCGCCTGCAAGTACATCTTTTAGTCAACATTTTAAGAATACTGGACACATTGCCAACTAAGGCAATGTGAAAGTACTAAAAAAGGTTGACAATCAATTCAAGAGAAACTTCATAGAAATGTACTATATCCATAACTGTAGCTCTTCTATGAACTGTAAGAAATATGTAGAAAACTTGAGTTGTATTTACTCATTTTTGCTTCAACAAGACTGAAATATGGAGTCAACTTATCATACCATACACAGATGACCTACCTGCACTTGAGTACAGATTTCATTTCCCAGCTGATTGTATTTTTTAAAAATGTTTAAAGTTTTTCAACTGGTGGTTCCATGTTATTGCAGGTGGTGTAAATATAAACATAACCTTGTTACATATGGTATCAGGATATTAACAGATGGTACCAAGATTTTCAACAAAAGAGAAGAAGAATTCTTCTATTCTACTTCGTCCCTTTGAAGTTCCTTTACATGAAATTGTTATTCTGTACACTTATATTCTTAATACTACAATAACTATCTTACGGTTGTCTGTCAATTCTTCTTCTTAAGGTGCCGTGCATTTCTGCGTAGGCGTCCACCGTACATCGTCTTGTCAGGTGAGATGTTAAATATTCTGGTTTAAATAATTCTGTTTTTAGCAGCATTGCGAAGCATTTCATAGCTGTGGATTCCTGTCCATTGTCGAATATTGCGCAGCCATGACATTTTTTTACGTCCGAGACCTCTCCTACCCTCTATTTTCCCTTCGAGAATCAGTTGCTGAAAAGTGTATCGTTCTCCTCGTATAATGTGCCCCAAGTATGCAGTCTTCTTACTTTTTACATAATTAAAAAGTTCCCTATCCTGTAAGCCCGCTCTTCTGAGTACTTCCTCATTTCTGACCCTGTCCGTCCATGATATTCTGAGCATTCGACGCAGGCACCACATTTCAAACACTTCAAGTTTGTTAATGGAACTGGCCTTTAACGTCCATGCTTCCATTCCGTACAGGAGAACAGGCCACACGTAACATTTAAGCATCTTGTATCGGAGATTGAAGTCCAATTTGCGATCAGTCAGAAACTTACGAAGCCTCAAAAAAGCATTTCTGGCTTGTTCAACTCTGCTCTTTATTTCATTCTCGGGGTCCCAACCCTCATTCAGCAAACATCCCAAGTATTTGAATTGCCTGACTTGTTCGATTTCTTCTCCAGAGACATATATCTTTGCGTTGGGGTAATCATTTCTACTTATAATCATTGATTTTGTCTTCTTGATATTTATTTTCAAACCCCGAGCTTCACTTGCAAGAGTTAGATCATTTAAAAGGCATTGAATATCTTCGATGTTATCTGCCACTATGGCTGTATCGTCGGCATACCTGATGTTATTAATAAATATGCCGTTAACTTTAATACCCTTATTAGAGTCCTCCACTGCTTCTGCGAAGACTTTTTCTACGTATAAATTGAACAGCATTGGGGACAGTATACAACCTTGCCTTACTCCTTTTTTAATGGAGAAATCTTCTGTTTCGTTGAAATTTTGAAGACGTACTGTTGCTGTCTGATTCCAATACAGATTGGCGATGATTCTTATATCCTTTGCATCCAATCCCAACTCTTGTAGGTATTTTATCATCAATTCATGTTTTACATTATCGAATGCTTTCTCGTAATCGATGAAACATATAAAAACATCCTTTCTTTGTTTGTCAATAATAAAGTCGAATGCATATAATTTGCTGTTTGAGTTTATCACTTTTACTTCTGTCCAATATCTCCCTATGTTCTATCCAGTGTCTCCCTATCAGAGTAGCAAGGTTGGCCAATTTTAATGAGATATTTAGAAACCATTTTTCAATAGAAGAAAGAAAACTAATTATTAAAAATTAGTATTACGTAACCAGAAAAAAAAAATAAAATATAAAAACTGTGCAAACTGTCCCAGTCTAATACTAGCAGATTAAGTTTACTATATATACTCACATATTGTGCCTTCATTTATATCAAAATCATATTGATCAACTTTAAATGTAAACGTGTCTGTATAATACATTTTCCCCCGTTTGTAATCGAATGCAAGTCCATTGGATAGATTAACTCCAGTTCTGTGAGACGTTGTGGTATTATTAGAAAAGCTATATAATGCTCCGTTCTCAGGCACAAGTTCATTAAATGTTCTAGGAGTTCCGCCCATAGTCCCTAGAAGAAAAAATTATTATATTCACAAAAATAATATAAATCTAAAAATCAAATGTAAGGTCAATACTAACGTATCTTGAGTAGAATACCTTTTCTTTCAACATCTGTTGCAATTAGACTAATCATTTTTTTTTCTTCCAGTATAGTTAAAGAAGAGTCCATGAAAGTAGTTCTATGTTATGGACATGGCTATTTGGTTTAAGTACATAGATATTTTTTGCATTTTACTTTCGACGTTTTTCGGTTTTCGTTTAGATCATTGGCTTTTTATTACAGAGCATTCCACGAACAGCCTGATTCGTTATTTACATCATTCACTTTACGTCCTGTAAAGTGGTCTTGTAATTTTTTAGGGGCCATCCGCTATTCATCACGTAGGAATGTATGCTGGTTGTCGAATGCACGGGGATTCCTTTTTTTGCTCTTCTGATTATTGTGTTGTTTGGTATCGAATATGCTGCATCTTATGTCTAGAGACCGGAATGTATACAAAATAAATTTTTTGCCAACAGTCAACAATGATGACTGTTAGGATTTTTATGTTTTAATGTTTTTGTACTTAGCAGTTGGTACAACTGATTTTATAAAAAAGAAGAAGTTTGACTTGACATAAAATATATATGACAGATGTATCCATGTGTGAAAAATAAAAAACAAAAAGTAAAAATCTTTATTCATCATACAATCCAATACCCTATGGAGTACAAAAAACACAACATTTGTTGGTCCTTCGAGCCGGATACATCCAGAAACAGCTATTTTCAAAAAATATCCACAAGAACTTATAAAAATTCAGATTGAAGTCTTCTACATATACACACACAGGAGGTAATCGTAAGTCATTCATTCTATTTCCTATTTTACCTTACTGATTATCCAACCTATTATTCACAAGTTAGAGGCTTTAATCAATAATCATGTCTGATTTAGCAAAATGTGTTAGAACTAGGGGTTCAGTTAAAAAGCGGTTAACTTTGGTAGAAAAGTTTATAGATGTTATAAAAACATCAGAACCAGATAGGAAACCTTCATTAACTGATGCTACAATTAGAATTAACGAATTAGAGTTAATAGATAAAGACTTTGAAAGCATTCAATTAGAAATAGAGGTAAATTGTCCTGAACAACAACTTGAGGAGAACTATAAGGAGAGAGAACAATTTAAAAAGCGGTATTATGATACTCTAAGTTTTCTTAAGACATACATAGAAAGTATGTCTGCAAATCAAACTAGTAACAATTCATTAAGTTGTAATAGTTCTAATAAAGATCCATTACAAAATATTATTTTACCTAAAATTAAACTTCAAATGTTTAAAGGTGATTATGACAGTTGGCTGGAGTTTAAAAGTAATTACCTTTCAACAATACATGAAAATGCATCATTGACACATTCTCAAAAATTTTCTTTATTGAGAGCATCACTAGAAGGTTATGCAAAAAGTTTAATCGATCAAATTCCATTCACTGATAATTTATATCAAGAAGCTTGGAACACATTATTAGACAGGTTTGACAAAAAGTATTTTTTAGTAGATAGTCATTTAAATTCAATTCTTAACATAGAGCATTGTTCTAAAGAATCCTCAACCAGTTTTCGTAGACTATTAGACAATGTATCAAAAAATCTTGTATCTTTACAAAACATAGGTATTAGTAAAGACCAGTTGTGGGATTTTCTAATTATACATTTAGTTTCATCAAAATTAGATAAAAATACTTTTAGAGAGTGGAAAGAGAAACAATTTAGTGGTGAACTTCCTAACATGGAGGAATTCTTAGAATTTCTTAAATCAAAAGCAGACATATTGGAAATCATACACAACACTACAAATGTAAACATTAATCCTAGTTCTAATATAAAACCAAACAAAACAAAAAATCATTCACATTTTAATTTAGCAATTTCTAGCCATAACTCAAATAATAATTACAAAAAATGTAATTTTTGTAAAAAGAATAACCATACAATATACAGTTGTTCTGATTTCTTAAAGCTAAATATCAATCAAAGAAAAGAATCAATTTCACAACTACAGTTGTGTGTAAACTGTCTGAGGACAGGACATAAGGTTGAATCATGCTATTTAGGGCCTTGCAAAATTTGCAATGTAAAACATAATTCATTAATTCATGAACAATCCAATAATCCAACATCTACCAATTTATTCATACAACCTCAACATTCAAATACACAAATTCTATTATCCACTGTAGGCTTTTATGTTAAAGATACGGTAGGCAACCAACATTACTGTCGAGCTCTATTAGACAGTGGTTCACAAAACAATTTAATTACACAAGGGTTTTGCAATAAAATTGACATACCTTTAATAGATTCAAAACTATCCATAGTTGGAATTAATCAAGTAACATCACATTTATCAAAAAAAATGCAATTTGACTATTTTTTCTAAAATTGACAATTATCAAACAACAATTTCATGTTATGTGATTTCCAACATATGCAGTGAAATACCTGCAGAAAAACTAATCCACCCATCTTTAATTATCCCTAAAAATATTCAATTATCAGATGAACAATTTTTTGAACCTGGAGAGATTGATATGCTTATAGGTGCAGATCTTTTTTGGGACCTTCTAACAGAAGGAAAAATATATCTTGGTAACAGGTTACCTATTTTACAAAATACTAAACTAGGCTGGGTTGTTTCAGGAAAAAGTCCTGTATCAACTTCATTATCCAGATGCAATTTTGCAAACACAATTTATTCAGAAGATGCTCAATTAAAAAGATTTTGGGAACTAGAAGAAGTACCTGTAAATTCAGTCTTGCCAAAAGATGAATCAGATTGTGAAAATCATTTTCACAAAAATACTACTAGAAATGAAGAGGGTCGTTTTGTAGTAAAGTTATCATTAAAACTATCTCCTGATGTATTAGGGGATTCATTCAATGCAGCTTGTACCAGGTTTGTAAATCTAGAAAAAAGATTTAATCAAAACAACAATTTTCAAATTCAATATTCACAATTTATTAAAGAATATATTTCCTTAAATCATATGACTAAGATAGATATGTCACAAGATAATCCTAATAAAACATACTATTATTTACCACATCATGGTGTTCTCAAAGAAGAAAGTCTCACAACAAAACTACGTGTAGTTTTTGATGGTAGCTGTGCTTCTTCTACAGGCTACTCATTAAACGATTTACAATACATTGGTCCAAAAGTCCAAAATGATATTATCAGTATTTTACTAAGATTTAGAATGTTTAGATATGTAGTTTCTGCAGACATTACAAAAATGTATAGACAAATTTTAATTCACAATGATCATAAGTCATTACAAAGAATTGTTTGGAGAGATAATCCAGAACAAGACCTTTCAGTTTATGAGCTAAATACAGTGACTTATGGAACAACTTCAGCTCCATATTTAGCAATAAAATGTTTACAAACATTAGCTCAAGAACATATAAATTCATTTCCATTAGCATCACAAACAATTCTAAAAGACTTTTATGTAGATGATCTACTCACTGGTTCTAATAGTATCTCTGAATTAATTCAAACATGTCAAGAAGTCTCATTCATTCTAAATTCTGCTGGATTTCCTCTAAGAAAATGGACTTCTAACAATCCAAGTGTTCTTCAAACCATTTCCAGTAATGATGATTCATTAGCCATATTAAAATTAGGACAAAATGATGCTTCAAAAACATTAGGTATATACTGGTACAGTCAATTAGATGTTTTAAAATATTCAATTAATAAAAATATTTATCCATTAACGAGTTCACTTACAAAAAGACAGGTACTCTCAGATATAGCACAAATTTATGATCCATTAGGTTTAATCAGCCCTTGTATAATTCTAGGAAAAATAATGATACAAAAATTATGGTCATTAAACATGGCATGGGATGAACCCATTCCAGATGATCTATCTTTACAATGGCAACAGTTTAGAACTGAATTGTCAGAATTAAATCAATTATCCATTCCTAGATATGTTATAAAAAATGAGTATAAATTGATAGAGATCCATGGTTTTTGTGATGCTTCTCGTGATGCATATGCTGCATGCATTTTTGCACGCAGTTCAAATTCACAAGGAGAATTTCATGTACAACTATTATGCTCGAAAACTAAGGTGGCACCACTTAAGTCATTAACAATTCCAAGATTGGAATTATGTGCAGCCTTATTACTTGCACAATTATCTATTCAAGTAAAAACATCACTATTCAATCTTCCTAATGATATACCATTTTATTATTGGTCTGATTCACAAGTGGTGCTCTGTTGGTTAAAAACAGATCCAAACTCTCTAGAAATTTTTGTGGGCAATAGAGTGGCAAAAATTCAAAATTTAACTTCTATCTCAAATTGGAGTTATACTAATACAAAAACAAATCCTGCTGATGTTGCCTCCAGAGGCATACTACCAAACAAATTAAAATACCACCATATATGGTGGACAGGGCCAGAGTTTTTATGTGAACCAAACAGTCAATGGCCTCAATATTCATTTAATATATCCAAATCAAAATTACCAGAATTAAAAAGGATTCCAACAACAATTTTTTCAAATATTTCTGTCAATTCGTTAGAAATATTTACAAAGTTTTCTAGTTATTTAAAGTTAGTCAGAACAATTGCATATTGTAAAAGATTTATTCATAATTCAAAAAATAAAACCAATCAATACTTGGGTCCGTTACAAGCAATTGAAGTTGATCAAGCACTGCTAACATTAATCAAACTAGCTCAAAAGGATTCATTTAATGACACATTAATTCTTTTGTCTCATAAACCATTACCCCGTAACCATAAATTATCTTCTTTATGTCCTTTTTTGGATGAGCAAGGTATTCTTCGTGTAGGGGGACGATTAAAATATACTAATTTACAAACAAATATTAAACATCCTATCCTTATATCTTCAAATCATCCATTTACTAAACTAATTTTTATTCATAAACATAACTATTTATTACATCCAGGGCCGCAATTACTATTGGCAACAGTCAGACAAAAATATTGGCCTATTGGGGGGAAAATTCTTGCAAAAAAAATTGTCAAGAATTGTATTCAGTGTTTTAGACACAAACCAGTTGCATCCATTGCCCCTATGGGTAGCTTACCTAATAATAGAATTTCACCATCTTTTCCATTTCAAGTCACCGGAATAGATTATGCAGGTCCATATAACATAAAAGACAGAAAGGGAAGAGGTGCAAAAACAACAAAAGGTTACATTTGTGTGTTTGTATGCTTTGTAACTAAAGCTATTCACCTTGAGCTCATTTCAGATATGACAACAGAATGTTTTATAGCATGTCTGCGAAGATTTGTTTCACGTCAGGGAATACCCAACCACATTTATTCTGATAATGGTAAAACATTTCAAGGTGCATATAATGAACTCAATGAATTGTACAAGTTTATTCAAAATAATCATAATACATTAATAGATTATGCAACTAGCAATAATATAAGTTGGCATTTTTCTCCTCCTTACAGTCCTAACTTTGGTGGCTTATGGGAAGCCGCAGTTAAATCAATGAAACATCATCTTAAAAGAACTCTGTTAAATTCTATTTTAACCTATGAAGAGTTTTTAACACTCATAATTCAAATTGAAGGCATTTTAAATTCAAGACTGCTCTATGCAATTTCAGATGACCCAAATGATTACGAGCCTCTGACTCCTTCCCACTTCCTTTTGGGCCATCCTATTACTTCTCTTCCTTCCTTAGACTTACTGGAAGTAGCAGAAAATAGAACCACAAGACTTCAAGCTGTTCAACGTTTGCAACAACAGTTTTGGAATCGATTTTCAAAAGAATACATCAGCCAGCTCCATCAACTATATAAATGGAAGTCTCCACAGTCAAAACTCTCAGTTGGGAGTCTGGTATTAATCCGTAATGACCACTTACCATCACAAAAATGGCAACTAGGTCGAATTTTGCAGCTGATTCCTGGTCCAGATGGTATTCATCGAGTATCCCTTGCGTCCACTACAAAAGGTGTCCTAAAACGATCTGTGAGACATCTACATCCACTACCTCTCCAAGATGAAGCTTCAAGTGAAAATTAATAAAGACAATTATCGTGAAATACACATTATTTATATTTTGAAGGTTCCCTTCAAAGGGGGGCTATGTTAGGATTTTTATGTTTTAATGTTTTTGTACTTAGCAGTTGGTACAACTGATTTTATAAAAAAGAAGAAGAAGTTTGACTTGACATAAAATATATATGACAGATGTATCCATGTGTGAAAAATAAAAAACAAAAAGTAAAAATCTTTATTCATCATACAATCCAATACCCTATGGAGTACAAAAAACACAACAATGACAGTGCAACTGGGTTACTGTAAGCAGTCCGGCATGGAAACCAATGGATAGGGATAAAATGCGAGTATTTTTTGCAATTATATTACAGCAGAGCTTGGCAAATAATCCGTACACTGGTGTTAGTTCCAAAAACCAATAATTGAAACGCCTTTTTTTCTTAAAATAAAGCAACACCTGCATTTTTTTAATAATGAATCTGTACCAAGTCCGAAACTGTATAAGATCTGAGAATTTTATGAATACCTTAACGCTAAGTACAAATCTTTGTATGATTTGTAACAATTGACGAAAAACAATGTAACAATTGTTAACAATTGACGAGATGTAACAATTGACGAGAACTTACTTCTCTACAAAGGCAGACTCGGATGGATTTAATACATGGCAAACAAAAGAGTACGATTTGGTATAAAAAACTACATGCTGTATGAATCCTGCTCCGGATATATTTGTCATAACATAATTTATACGGGAAAGGACACAAAGTTTGGCGAATAATATAAAGATCTTCTAATGTCAACAGGTATTGTTATGACGCTATTGAAATCTCTACTGTCGAATGGTCACTGTTTGACTACAGACAACTCCATCCATTATACATCCCCTGAACTAACTGACCTTTTATTGGCCGTCCCACAGATACGTACAGTACTATTAGAATTCAAAGAAAGGATCTACCACCAGAAATAAAGAACAAACTTAAGAAAAATAAAGATATCGCGTTTCAAAAAGGAAAGACAAAAGTAATGAAGTGGAAGGATAAACGGGAGGTTTATGGGCTGTCAACGCTGTATAATGCTCAAATGGTTACTAAAGAAAGACGAAGAAAGAAGATAAAAATCACTACACAAAGACTACAACAATACCATGGTGGCGTCGACAGAGTAAGCAACATCTTGTTGATTATCCTGTAAGCAATAAGCGTGGAAAGAGATATTACAAAAAAATATTCTTCCAACATCTCGAACATGCTGAGTGAACTGCTTTTGTACTATAAAAGAAAAGCGGAGGACTAGGAACGCATCTAGAATTTCGAATGGGTTCGATAACGAAACTGATATAGGTTTACTACATAGATAAAGGTGTGTCAAGAGGAAGACCTTCAACGCTTTCCAACCCATTTAGACTTACCGGCTGACGTTTACCAGAAGTTGTTTCTGTTACAGAGAAAAAAGCTTATCCAACTAGAGTGTGTGTTGTATGCAATAAGGCGAAAACCTAAGTTGAAATGTGGGACTTTGTTTGACCTGCTCGTCCAAGACGTATCATGCTATAACTAATTTTAAGTTTATATTTCTTGTATTCATTATTATAAAAATATAAATACATATATACATGTCTTGTTTTTTATGCTATAATGTAACTGTAATCTCTTCTGAATAAATACTTTTTGATCATTATCCACAGCGTGCATAAAAACTGTTTGTGTCTAGTTTGCTGGGAATGTAGAACAAAACCTTTTGCTCGCAGGTTTTATTTATCCAATCAAAAACCCGTCAACGAGATATCTCCGGATAGTTATTATACATATTTTCAACCGTTAAAAAAACACTAAGCAAAATCAATATTGTATAACATTTTTGAATGCAAAAAGTGAAAAAGCAAGTGAATTATTAAAACATTGGATTTTTTGGTTCCCATTATGGACAAATAAATGGTTTATTAAGGGGTTAAGTGGGACGGGTTTTTCCGAATTCGATAAAGAACTGTCAGTGAAGCTTTTAGGAATAAGGATGCACAGATAATTTTGAACAACAGCAAATTTTGAACAACAAATTATTGTCAATTGTTTCGATAACGATAACACTAGTTTGTGAAATTGCTATCTACTATAACTATGCAATTTTGTGCATATAGTATATGCCCATATTGGATCTGTTTTCTGTTGCATATAGTCTAGTTTGTGATTATGTCTATACAGTTTTAAAAACTTCTTCTTCTTATTCTTCTAATGTTCATGGTACTGCCTGATGTTCATGGTTTTAAGATCCCTCTCTACGTAGTCTATCCATCTTTTACGTGGCCTTTATCTTATTCTGTCTCCTTAGGGCTTCCATCTCTAGACTACTTTTACAGCTCGATTATCTGGCATTATTTCTAGGTAACCAAGAGAGTTTAGTGTTTGTAACTTTACAAATCTAACAATATCTGCGCTCTGCCTTAGTTTTTTAGAGATTTATACTTTCTTGAAACTTCTTGTACGGCTTACTTAGACCAAGTCTGCACAGTTTTTCACTGTGACTTTTTTTGGTTCGGGGGCGTTTTCCCCTTATATTTTCTGAAACATGACCGTTTCACGACAAGCAAAAATGATACATACTCTTGCCATATTTATTGAATGGCTTGATTTCAGTTGATAATAAAAAGAAATAATATTCTCTGAAGCCATAGATGGGACGGTAAGGGTGTCCACCCCCCTAAATATGACCGAAAAACGGTCAGTGCAAAAAAGATAAATAACCAGCTAATTTTTTCTGTATGCCTTGCTTTAACGACGAAACTAACGGTTTTATTATTGTTTGACACCAAGAGCAAGCCCTTTTTCTAGTCCGACGCGTCAAACGAGTATGTATTATTTTTGCACATGTGAAACAGTCATGTTTCGGAAAATATAGGGGGGAAACGCCCCCGAACCAAAAAAACTCATAGAGGAAAACTGTGGTAGACTTGGTCTAAGGAAGCCGTACAAGAAGTTTCAAGAGAGTATAAATCGCTAAAAAAATTTGCCGGTGGGCACTCTAACTAAATTATTTTCGATCTACGACGTTTCTACAGAGAAAAAACTTTTACCTGCCCAAAGTCTTCCTTTTTTATCACATTTTCCATCAGTTAATATATTTGGAGTTCCAACGTCTACTTCATACAGCTTTTTCACTGAACTTACGTTAGGACTTTCTCCATCCCATTCAACTATAGCTACAGAGTTATTCAAACTTACTACGAATTGGTTGTTTTTGTCTTTGACTGGTATTACGAGAGAAACGTTGTAGTCACCTAAAAGTACAGAGAGTAAATATTTCAAAAATCAAGAAGAATACAACGGAGACAGTTTGTTATATAAAGCCATCGAAAAAATCGTATTTTCCTTATCTTGAAAGGTTAGTCATGCCAAGAAATCCAAAATAGTAATAGATACGTATCCTATCTTTTTCATAATTGTTTGACAACTTTACACCAAAATTTTAAAGAAAATAAAAAAATAAATTAATTTTTTTTATTATTCCAATTATTTCCAAATCTTATTTTTTGTTTTCAAAAACGTATCAATAGTATTCCATCATTAACAAATTTAAGACATGAACTTTCAGTTTTCCTAAGATTAAAATATACTTATTAAACGGTGTCAAAAAATTTAATTTTTTGGGGATATCTGGGGAGATTCTGACAAATCTGATTGCTCAAGCAAACAAGCAAGTAATTTAATTAAACCCAGCCTATGAGACATGTTAACCCCTTAGAAATACGTTCGGGTGCAACAATGTATCAGACCGAGGTTTATTAATTCAAGTAAAACAGGAGTCACTCTACCTCGCTTTAATGCTTCCCCCATCCCTTTCCCCTCTATAGCACTCTGATGCGCGAAATAAGTATACCTATTTGCCACATGCTCTTTATGCCACAATCAATAAAATGGTAGCGTCCATCACTGACGGGCCTTCACACACACTCTCATAGGCTGATTTGTTGCAGGGCTGTCGCTCGGAAGCTGATGAGGCCAGACCATTAACGTAATCCATCAACAACGGAATTTTAGTGTAACACTTCTGGATTTGGCTGAAGACGTAAAAAGATTACTATTGTTCCAGCTTACAGGAACAATAGTAACTAGAGACACAGTTCTTATCACACTCAAGCCTACACAAACACCATCTGGAAAGAATATCAAATTTCATTCAGAATCTTTTACCTCTGCTTTCGACAAAAACGGCTACATCTCAACAGCCTCCAAAGTGCTTCATAATCTAACCGCAACAAGAACTTGCCCCAGTGACGTTTTTTCTATGCTGTTTGCCTTAGTACACCAAAACCACATTCAAGACCCATCCAAAACTCCGAAGAGGAGGAACTCATGTTCAACCCCCTTAATTCCCCATGATCTGTCGTTAAAAAGAACAGTGAAAAAATCATAAGTGAAAACCAATAAAAAACCTCATGATACTATTCCGACGTGGTAAGTATTTGATCGTATATTTAGTTTACTCTCAATAAACACCAAATTCAAATTTTATATGAATGTTATCTAAAAACATAAATGATGTTATTTTCCTTTTATGGAATTCCTCTTTTAATATGCGTAACCAGATCCTACGAACAGAACAACTAAGAAAGGGGTCCTACAACATCCACAAGGAATAATACGAGAAAAATGATACCATACATAAAAGGATAATCTTCTTCTTCTTCTTCGGTTTTTTCCATTATGAGTTCGCCGTTTTCATCCTCCATAGCACTCTATTCTCCCAGTCACTTTCTCCGAGGTCCCTATCTATCATAGCATTTCCGACGTATGTTTTCCATCTTGTAGCAGGTCTTTCTCTCCGTCTTCTTCCCGGCGGGTCCCAGTTTAATATTCTTTTCGGCCACCTAGGCTCTGGCATTCTTTGTACATGCCCTAACACTGCAGGGCTCTGTTTTCCAACTTTTTTGTAATTGAGCATTCTACTTCCATTCTGTTCCATATTTTCTCCGTTCTTATTCTATCCGCTCTTGTGATTTGTAGACATCTTCTCAAAGTCCAGTTCAACTGTTCTTATTTTATTTCGTATTATTGTTGTCATTGGCCATACTTCCGCTCGATATAGGGTAATATTCATCACTATGCTTTGAAAGATCCTCTTTTTGTTTTCTTTGGTTAGAGTGTTGTTTCATATCACTTCATGAAGTGCTCTTGTGGCTTGTTTCCCCGTGCTATTTTCATATATATTTTCTATATCTTTCATACAAGTACCATCTTGGCTAGTCATTAACCCTAAATACTTAAAAGTCTTACAACTCTTAATAGTCTCTTCTTCTAAACTTAAGTTCAAATCTGCAACATAGGGTCCAATATATAAGTATTCGGTCTTGCACATATTTATCTTGAGTCCCCAAAGTTCATATTCTTTCTTTAATTTCCTTATCATATATTCCATATCCTTCCTGTCTTATGCAAAATGACTTGATCATCTGCGAAAAGTAGTGAATGTAATATATTCTCTTATACTGGTATGCCCATTTTTCCGCATTTTCTATACCATCTTTTCAAAGCCTGATCTATATATATATATATATATATATATATATATATATATATATATATATATATATATATATATATATATATATATGTTAAAAAGTGTAGGTGAGAGACCACATTCCTATTTGAGGCCTTTTGTTGCGGTGATTGTTTTTGTTATTTCATTACCTAACTTTATTTGCACTTGTGTTTCTTTATACAGTCTTTGTGTTATATTTACCCACTTCTCTCTAACGCGCATTCTTCTCATTGCTTCCCATAGTTGTTTCCTGGGCACGCTATCGTATGCTTTCTCTAAGTCGATAAAGGTCATATGTGTTTCAATGTTTTTTTCTTTGTTCTTTTAAATCACCTGTCTCATAATGAATATATTATCTAAACATGATCTGGCTTTCCGGAATCCGGCTTGTTCTTCGCTATAATGGTCCATGTATTGTTCTAGTTTTTCTTTTATAACTAATGAAAAGATTCTTGCTATTGAAGGAATTACACTGATCCCTCTGTATTTATTTAGTGACCTTTTGTTGCTTTCTTTGAAAATGGAGGACATGTATGATAAATTCCACTCATCGGAAATCTGTTCTCGTGCTTCGATTTTATTGAACAATATTCGTATAAAGGATACTATCCTTGCGCCTCCATATTTCAGCAGTTCCATTTTTATGTTCCCTGGCTCTAATGCTTTATTGTTTTTGGATTTCTTTAGTGCCTTATTTATATCTTCCTCTGTGATTTCTGCTTCCTCAGTTATTATTGTCACAGGGTCGTATGAGATATACTCCGGCCTATTCTCCTGCAATAATTTTGTGTAATGTTTTGTCCACTCTTTTGATGTAATTATCTGTATGGTATTTTTACTTCGTTTATTACTTCTGATGTTTTTTTATTTTTTTCCATGGTTTCGTTGATCTGTTATACCCTATCGTATTGTCTATATCTCTGCACATTCTCTCCCAGTATTCATTTTTCTCGAGCTTTATTCTTTGTTTAACTTGTTGTCTGAGGGTAACATATTCTCTCCGTGTTCCTGGGGTTCTGTTGTTTAGCCATTTATGAAATACACAAATAAAAGGATAATCAGAAGAACTTAAATCGATAGGAAATAAATTTTTATCTACACTCAGATGAAAAAACAAAGAAACGGAGGAAATTTTGGTCAAATTCAAAGTATTTCAATTTTTTTATTTTTTGGTCTATTTCGATGATTTGTTTAGCAGACTATATCATTAAAAAAATTCATATAAAAAAGTAATATTTTTACAAAAAGAAAAAATAGCTTTAACACAGTGGCGTGTTGATATCGATTTGCAGGTTGATTCCATTATTATATTGGAAGTCGCTAACAACAGTTAATTGGATAATTAGGTGAAATTTTATGTTTTTCTTGTTATTACTGATATTCATCCAATTAATTAGTTAAATTCAAAATTATCTTTAAAGTTGTTACGTAAATTAAAAAAATAGAGTGTCGTGTAGAAAAAAATTACCTTTTAAATGATGTACCACTCGACTACACTTGATATTTAAAAAAAACACTAGGGATTGATGCTGGGCAGTAAGAGATTATCTTTGAGGGCATGAATTTTGCATGAAAATTCGTCCCCCTCCCAATACAAATTAATGTGTTTTCTTAGATTTTGAAGAAACTTTTGGTTTCTGGGTTACTGGGGGAAGGGTCAAATTTTCGTTGGAACATACTGTACATATTATATATCAATATCAAATCTGTCTGTACGAAAAACATGGCGGCTGATGAAAAGTTCTATTAAGAAATCTAATGCAATACATTTTAAAATTTTTCTTATGAATATTGCATATATTTAAATTAAAAATTGTTTGCATAACATTAACAAAGTGGTCAAATGATTATTTCTTGAAAACAAATGTTTCAGAAAGTATTTACTCACCAATTTTGGCTTTACTAAATTTCTTCGTGGAGGGAACATATTTACAAATAGTACCTTCGACAAAATCTACAAAATACAAACACTGCTTTTTATGATCCCAATGTGGACTTTCTGCAACTTCGAAACCATCTACTAATTTCTCTATCACAGGTGCCATTATTTTCAGTCGTATCCTAAGCCACAATTTTTAAATTTAATGTTTAAAGTATTTGTCTTAATGTTTGTTTTACGCTATGATCAATTTCTGTTATTTAAATAATCTAATAAATTTCTTTCTCTGAGTATTTATAATCTAGGACTTAACTGGTTTTGGAAACCAGGGCACATAAATATAGCAATTAACTTTAAATGCGATAACATATTAAAGTTACGTAACTTTGAATTTGATAATTAACTAATAAAACACTAAAAGTATACGAGAACCTCATATCGTAAAATCTATTTCCAAAATAGCTACAGATTTAATTAATTAAGGTGTGCAGTTGTATATTTTAGTGAAGTATTTATATTATAAGGAAGAGTGCATATGCCCACTGAAGATAAAGATTTAAAAATCAAAACAGAGTTCTACGAAAAGCTAAGCACCCTAATAGGTAATATACAGAAATACGATATAAAGGTAATCATTGGTAACCGTAAACATAAGGAACCAAATGAAAACGGGAAAAAGTTAATAGAATTTTACAGAGAATAAAATGAAGATAGCTATTAGCACAAGGTTTGATCACAAAGACATTTATAAGGTAACATGGACTTCTCTCAATATAAAAATAAATAGTCAGATATATAGATCATGTCCTAATTAAAAGCAAATATGATAAGGCAATAATCGATTGTAAGTGTTACAGAGAGGCAGATACCAATAGTGACCATAAACGAATAATATATATATATATATATATATATATATATATATATATATATATTTTTATATATATATATATATATATATATATATATATATATATATATATATTGTATATACAGTGTAGGTAAAATTTTATGGTTGGTATGGTTAAACTTAACAGGATATCTAACACAGATATAAAATCATATTTTCAGCGAATAAACAAAGATAACAATCATATTCCCCCTTGGTCTCCCCTCCATAAATCTTCTTTACGCCCATTTTGCCTGTTAGTGAGACGATTAGTTCCGATCAGAGATATTTTACATAATCTGTGGTTCCGATCCTCATAAAGCTAAGAAACTAGAGGTGGGTCCTTTAGTTTTTTAAATTTTTATCGGAACCGTTTTTTGTAAACTGAAAGAAACTAATGAAGAATATATTTATTATAACTTGAAAAATAAATTAAACAATACAAATAGTACTTACATTTACATGGATTTAAGTCATCTTTATCAGTTTCTTTTTCTTGTACTAGTCAATTTTCAATAGTATAATCTTCTTTTTCTTTTTTTTTTATAGAAGTAACCAGCTTCAACCATTAACTAGTTGATTTTAACGAATTTAACCGAAAATTTAGAGTTTAACACGGTTTAATTAGACTGCTGCCATTTTTCTGGAAACCATAATTAAGAAAACATCGCTTTTAAAATTAGTGAAATTATTATTCAGGGGTTCTAAAACAAAAAGTAAATTTTTCAGTAACTGATAATGCCTTAAATATGGTCATAGCTATTAAATATGCTTTGGAATGAAAACATTTAAATTGTTTTGCTCATACGTTAAATTTATTGATGGAGGACGCACTTAAATGCTGTCGTGTACAAATAGATAAAATAAAAAGTCTTTTTTTCGACAATTCGGCAAAAAACACATTTCAAAAAAGTACCTTATCTTCAGAAACGCCTTTAAAGTATCAATTACAACATAACAAAGATCCCAAACGGCCAATCCAAGACGTGGAAACTAGGTAGAACTTCACCTATTACATGTTAGAAAGAATGACGGAGTTAGAAGAGGCAATCCGTTTCACATTGGTATCAGTTAATACAGACTTAGACTTAGACCAAATCTAAATAATGAAGACTGGATTATTTTTTCGTAATTGTCCTAAATTTTACGGCCTTTTAAAGAAATAACAAGTACAATGAGTGGCCAAAAATACTTGAATGATAGTTCAGTGATTGTTCTGGTACGCTGCCTGCAAAAATCTTGCAATAAAATTTTAGCAAACAGTAACCTTACATCCATAGTTAGTATCCGACGTAGTACGGGTTTTTATTACTAATTACGGGATAATTACTAATCTCGGGTTTAGCAAAAAGATTTAGAGGGATAGAATACAGTGGCATATTGTCATTATGTACGTTTATGGATTCACGATTTAAAGTGCAGGGATTTTCTGATAAAAATGACGCTAAAAAAACAAAAGAAAGAGTTAAGAAGCTGGTTAATTCTATAATTAAAGAACAAGAAGATTGTACTATTGAAAATCAACCAGTATAAGAAAAAGAAACCGATAAAGATTACTTAAGTCCATGGTGTATTTTTGATCAATTAATTGGACATGACTCATCTAAACGTACACCTGTAGCGAGAGTCCATTACAATGGTGAAAAAACCATCGCCATGTATCTCCTAACTTAACCACTATATTCATAAAGTATTGTAAATGTGAACACATGTTCAAAATCAGGTTTAATTTTAAATAAAAGAAAAACACAATTAATAAGAAGTAAAGTAAAAAAACTTATGTTTTTAAATGTCAATTTAGACGATTCGTGATTTAATAATAACGTGTAATGTAAACGTAGGTACGATTTACTATTTGTATTGTTTAGTTTAGTTTTCAAGTTATAATAAAATCTTTTATCAGTTTCCTTCACTTCAATAAATATACAGATAAACGATAATAGCCATTATGTTTGTTTATGAAGGTAGTTTCTTACTTGAAACTACTATTAAAAAATCATAGTTACTTGTTTACGAAAATCGGTTTTGCGACGTCAATGACCCACCTCTATTCGTAAATACCTGTTTACCCTTTGATTCGGTGATTTGACCACGCGACACGCCACGTTGGCAAATAGTTTTGTACGAAGCTTTTTTATTTATATGCAGTTTAATATTTTTATTGGAAATAAGGCATAATGTCACTTTAAAATAAGCTTATTTTGATGTTTAGATTTTTAATTCGGAAATCGTTTTTAAAATACCAAACATTAATAAATTTTATTTATATAAAACGATTTCCAAAGTATAAATCAAAATGTTATATTACACTTATTGTAAAGTAAAATTGTGGCATATTCCCAATAAAAAACAATAAGCTGCCATTTAAATCCATTTCGCCCAAATTTCATTATCTTGGAGCATTGTTCAAATGCGAAAAAGACAACAGGTCAAATAAAACCAATAAGTTTGGCAACGTTGAATTTCCCCTTTTTATTATATCCACTCCATATCCACTCATTTATGTTCGGTGATATAAAAGGCGGACACCTAATATATCTCCCTCTTTTTAAACAGTTGTTTCTCACTCCATCTCATGTAAGGTCCATACCGACCATAAACTTTTACCTATACTGTATATATATATATATATATATATATATATATATATATATATATATTGTGGCTAAACACCCCGTACGGGGTTACGCCGCTTAAGCTCTCTAGATCTATTTTACGAGGTAGATCAGTCCTCATTTTCTTTATTTAATTTTTCTTGTTATTTTTCTCCACTGTTTCCTATCTCTGGTTTTTTCTCTCCATTGTCGTACACCCGCCATGTTGAGATCGTTTGTTACTTCTTGTAGCCATGTAGATCTTGGTCTTCCACGTCTTCGTTTACCAGCTGGTGTCCATTCCAATATTGAGAATATTGTCGTAGATGGTCCTGATCTCCATATATGTCCTAGCCATTTTGCCCTTTGCTGTTTTATTTTACAAACTATATCCTCTTTAATTTCGTTTAGTAATTCATGATTCGTTCTTTGTCTATACTGGTTTTCATTAATTTTTATTTCTTACTTTCTAGTATTCTAAGGTCTTCCTCTTGTTTTTTTGTCATGCTAAGGGTTTCGGCAGCATACATCATAGTCGGTCGAATTATTGTTTTATATATTTTCATTTTCGATTTTTTGCTCAGTAATTTATTTTTTAGAAGCTTTTTATTTGCATAGTACATATGTCTTATTTGCTGTAATTATTCTTTCTTTAATTTCTGTTTCCCTTTCTCCATTTTTTGTTAATAATATTCCCAAATACTTAAAATTTTCTACTTCTTCAAATATATATTCTCCCAGTCTAATCTTTTTGTTTTCATATTTTTTGTCAAATCTCATTATTTTTGTTTTTTCTTGACTTATTACTAATCCCATTACTTTCCCTTCTGCTACCAATTCTTTTAACATACTTTCCATTTTTTTTTCTGTTCTTTGTTATTATCACAATATCGTCGGCATATGCTATTATTTGTCCCTCTCTCGTTCTAAGTGTACCTTTGTTGATTTTTCTGACTATATATTTCAGGACAAGATTAAACAGAGTTGCAGATAATGAATCTCCTTGACGTACACCTTTATTCATAACAAATTCTTCTGTGTCTCCACTTGTGTTTTTACAGTTACTACGGTTTTGCTCATTGTCATTTTTATTAATCGTCTTAATTTGTTGTGTATTCTCATTTCTCTCATAGCTGTAAGTAATTTCGCTCTGTTTATTAAATCAAATGCTTGTTGGAAGTCTATAAAAAGCAGTTCAATTTCTATTTTATATCCATAAGCTTTCTCCATAATTTGCTTTATTGTATGTATGGCATCTGTTGTTGACTTTCCCCTAATAAATCCGCATTGATAGATACTGTCCCATGATATTTGTTGTCGCTTTGGCCAGTCTTCGTTGTATTAGGGTTGACATGATTTTATACGCTGTGTTTAATAATGTCAGTCCTCTATAATTATTACACATTTGTTGGTCTCCTTTTTTATGGATTGTGATAATTTGTCCTTTGTGCCATTCTTCTGGCATCTTTTTTTCGTCCCATATGACTTTTATTAATTGGTATATTTTTTCTCTGAGTTCATGTCCACCATATTTTATTAGTTCCATGTTTATACCGTCTATACCTGGTGCTTTACCGTTGCGACTACTGTTTGTAATTTCCTCAACTTCATCTCTAGTTGGTTTTTCTAGCTCGGTTTCTATCATCGTGGTCTCTTCTTCCACATTTTCATTTAAGTCTTCGT